ATGCTTAATCTAAAATACTGTTTTGAGAAAATCTCTTCAGAGAAATAAGATAGTAAGAGCATGACATATCTGGATTAAAGCTTTGTACTTAGAATGAGACTAGAAGTCTTTTACTATGACATATTTTTCCTTATTTGTGACGGCTTTCTTCAATTCAGATGTAAATTATCTCCAAGTTTATTCAACTAAACCAGATCTGATTGCATATATTTCTATAAAGTGACCCTACTTTTGTTTGTTGCTCAAGTCGAGCATGTTATCTGTGTAACCCATAGCTATTTCAATAGGTAGAAAGGATTCACTGTATTTGTTTGTGTGTCATTCTGAAAATATAGTTTTTTAAACAGATCTGGTATTTTACCAGGTGTGCTTTAAGTAATTTCTATTGCATTTATACTTTAGAAGGATTAGGAAAGAGAGTAAAAGAACTCTTTGTCCGTTAGATTCATTAAATGTATTCATGCGTGTGTAAGTGGCATAGAGGCTGTGCTACTAAGGAATCAGATCCTTGTCCTAGGGTGTAGAGCAGGGTGAAGGGTGTGATATTTACTGCTTGTGTAAGTGTCATAATAATTGTGTATTCGATTCTTTACTTTTAAATTACCTTCCTGGGCATGAAGCCATTTTTTTGTATTTATTTTTTCCCTGCAGAGTTAAGGAGGGTCCGGAACCACACCTTTGAAATGGTACAAGTACAGCTGTTCAGGATGTGAATGTGTAATAGAACAGATAGGTCAGCAAAGGTGAAGATCAAAATAATGCAAAAATTGTTCTAGAAGGAAGAATACTTTGCTACAAAAAAGTATTAAAATGTTGTTTGAACTAGTATTCATTTTCATTAGTGCATCATTAAAAAACCCAAGGAATTTATTCAGGATAAAGTGTAAGTAGCTACTACATTCCTACAGAAGAATTACAAGATTTAACATTACTATCTTCTGGTTTTGCACATCTTAAATAATTCAAAGTGCTGCCAGAAGTTACTTCAAACCAACTAGCTACTGCTTAGTTGAAATAATTACCACAGACTTCATTTAAACAAATACCTGGTAAAATAACAAATTTCCTGTGCACCAAACCAACATCCGTTATATAAAGAAGCTCTTTACGTTAGAAGATGAAGTCTTGGCTACCGTACCCTGAAGCGTAAGGTCATGTAAAAATGAATCCATAGTTGGAAGAAAAGTGCTGTTTTACCAGCAGAAACTGATTTCAGTGAAAGTGAAACATTGCCTAGCTCCAGAGCAAGATCTCACACTGAGGGCAGTAGGGTCCTGTTACCACCCTCTGGTCATGTTGTTAGAAAGAGTCTTCCCTGAAGAGAGGGGAGTGTTAAAGTTTGCATAGAAAGTCATTTGCCTGAAGATGAAAACTCCCAGGGCACGACCTGCTTTGGCTCTGGGACAGCCCTGAATGCACACGCATGTGTTATTCCACAGAGTTCTGTGAGGTTGAATATTAGTAATTTTGCTGTCACTTGAGTTATACTCTTTTAGCATCTGAACACTGTGTCCTTCCTCCGCCACCCTCCCCACTATGTAAATTTGGAAGAGCTTAGAGCTTCTTTTTAAGGGCTTTTAGTTTACATTTCATTATAAAGTACTTACCTTAGCAAAACCACAAAATGTATTTTAAAAATACATTCACCTCATCAGCTGGTATCACCATGTGACGTGTGAGTGGACTCTTAGAATGCATGCATGTGACTGGTAGAAAATCAGATATTGTAGAACTTGAAAATACAGAGAAACACTCTGTTTTTAGCGTTTCTTTAGACCTTTAACAAATGCTGAATGCTTGATGAGGTGAATTTTGCAACCTTCATCAAGAAAGCACTGATTTCACCATCATGGGTACCTATGTAATCTCACTGAGTTCAACAGGATCAAATCAGATTCAGTATATAAACACATGCTTAAATTATTTCCTGTGTAACTGCCAATAATATACAAAAAAATCTTTAAATAATAAAGGTGTAGAGGTTCTGGACAATGTAACTTACATACTGTGCAGGGCTGTTTTGAAAAGAGGACCATGCAATGACATCAGAGCAAAGGATTGTCAGCACTGAAGTGAACTCCGGAATTTATCCTAATGGTAAAGAAACAAAGTACACAGATTTAAATATTAAGGTATTTTAATACTTTTCATTATAAAATAATCCACGTAAATTTATTTAAGTGAATAAAATTCATTAAAACACTAAATTGGACACACCTTTGCGGGCTACAGCTCCTCCAGGGTCCTTTGATCTCTATTATATATCATCCTTTGTTTTTTAATTCTCTTTTAAAACACTACTAAGTTACAAAGCATCTTAAGTGTTGTATTTCATATATTTACAAGAGAAACCATTTCTTTTGGTATGAGGTGTGTTCACTAATAAGGCTTCTATTCTTTGTAGTAAACAACACATTTACAACCACAAATAACAAAGTAGAAGCTGCAGAAGGGTTATGGTGTGATAATTAAGTACAATGGCGACCCATATGAACAGAAAATGCCAAGGAGCTAAAACAAAGCAACAACAGCTTTGTTTGTTGACAGATGTAGGAGCCATATTGTTAGTTAATTGGGTAATGGTGTAAACATTTGCAAACTCTGCTGTCCCTCAGTGAATTCAGCAGCACGCTGAAATGATGGTGAAAAGCTGCACAGTCCTTTTGCTGCAGGTACTCCACAGTGCTTTTAGCAAACCTGCTAAGTAGGAAGGCACTGGGGAAGGGACATCGTGCATTGTTATTATTTAAGGTACTTGAAGTGTGCAAACCTTCACGTTTAGACTGGGATATATGTATCTTGATTTACACTCAAGTGAATAATGGGTTTCCACATGGTTACAGTCTGGAAGATCGTGTTCATCCCCTAGGCTGGCTTTTCAGATTTATTTTTTTTCCAAATGTAGAAGAGAGTTGTTCTGTCTTTCCTAGCTTTTATTGAAAAAAAAAAGATTAAAAAAAGGGTTGCAGGATTTGAAAACAGAGAGGTCTAATTAGATACTGGCTTGAACTGAAAAGAAGGAAAATTGCTTCTCAGGTGCACAATACCTCATGCGCTGTGAACTGCAGAGACCCCTATTTACCTCGCTTTCTGTGCCTGTGTGCAAAAATGGACTGTAGCAGAATACCAAAACATTAAAAAATGCAACAAGATACTTAATTAGCATACTTCTGTAATCACAAACTTAAATGCACTACTTTGGCTGTTTTTTACGTAACAGGTTTGCTTTCTAAGATAATAACCTT